CCTCTATTTGCATAGACCTTTTTCGAAAATTAAAAGGAGCTTTTATTCTCTTACACCTAAGATGCAGTGGGGCATGGCCTTGGAAGCAGGGCAGCTCAGAAGCGAGACAATCTTTCTGAGTGGTGTGGCACATTTTGTAAAAGCAGACAGCGCTTCAGCTAGTGGGGTAAACACGTAAGACTGAATGAACCTTTGGGTGTCCGTTTCGGTCTTTGCAAGGCATTCAGATGGGGTCCATGTCATGCTGATTGGTGACAGCAAAGAAACAAAAGGCAGGACACTGACTGATGGAACAATATGGTAAAGATGTAGTGGCCTGGCTGAACTGATTTTTTTTCTTACCTGAACCGAAAGTAGACTCACCTGGAATTTCCACTCTAATTAAAATTGTGAACTTGGCCCAGTGGGAACATGAAAGACAAAATGCTCCTACTTTAAATAAGGAGCCTGGCTGCTTGGGAGTATTTTATATAAATAGATATAGATTGTGACTATATGAAGTTAAAATATGTTAAAAAAATTTTTTTTAAATAGCAACACCCAATGCTGATGAGGCTGTTAAAAAAAAAAAACAACCCTAAAAACATGTACCTTCTGCTGGTTGTAACCCTTGGAGAGAGAGAGCACGTGGAAATACGCAGCAAAATTCAAGGAAGAGCTCATGGACGCGACAGTTGCAGGGGTGGAGATGCGTGCTGAGGAGGTAACTGAACAGAAGGAAAAAGCCATGTGCAGAAAGGTGTTAATTGGGCCATTAGTTCTAACAGCAAAAGCTAGCCACAACCTAAGTGTCCCACAGTAGGAGTTTCCAAATGACCGCCCACCAGCAAGGCGATATACAAGGTATCCTTTAAAATAACTGAAAACTGAGGACTAAGATAATTAATTGCGAGGGTGATAAAAGAAGGGCACAAAACCAAATAGTATGAAGACTTGAAATGTAATAAACAGGATGAAAATATCTCTGTTAGAATCGTGGTGTTCGAGTCTTTTTCTTTTTTTAATGGAAGTAGAGTTGATTTACAATGTTGTCTTGGTTTCTGGGGTGCAGCATGGTGATTCAGTTATACATATTCCTTTTCATATTCTTTTTCAACATCAGTTATAATGAGCTATTGAATAGAATTCCCTCTGCTGTCCAGTAGGGCCTTGTTTGTCTGTTGTGTATACCATAGTAGCGTGCGTCTGCTAATTCCAAACTCCTAATTTGGCCCTCCCTGCCTCCTGCCTCCGCTGGTGACCATGTCTGTTTTCTGTGTCTGTGAATCTGTTTCTGTTTTCAAATAAGTTCATTGGTGACATTTCCTTTTGGATTCCACGTCTAAGCAGGGTCGTAGACGGTTTGTCTCTCTCTGTCTGACTCGCTCCACTTAGTGTGATCACCTCTCGGTCCATCTAGGCTGCTGCAAAGCCTCTCCCTTTTCTTTTAAAAGTTGCCTTTTTCAGTCGTACATCAGCTCATCAGTTGAATTCAGAGAAGTTTTTTCAGGAAGTGTGTGGGTAATATTCCATGATACTAGTATTCTAAAATGAATTTAACCAAAGTAGTTTGGATGTGTTCAAAGACACAGAAAGTCAACATACAGGGAAAGCATGACTATTTTAGGTGATTTTTGTTTGTTTGTTTCTCAATGTAAACTTCTAAAAACGGTACCCACCAGTGACCAGCATGGGCAGCCGTGCTCCCAGCCCCAGCTTTCTGGCCCAGTGCTGACCGTAATGAAAGTCATCAGGCCTCCTTCATCGAAGTTCAAAACAAAACCACCCATAACCCCATTTTAAAGAGCAAAACCACAAGCCACAGCTTCAGTCACTGCCGGGGATGCTTCCCTTTCTTGTTTCCTATTGATAAGTTGCAGAAAGGTCTCCCTTAATCAGCCGTGAAAGTGGAAACCGGCAGCCTTTGGGGTTTAAAGAAACAGGGAGAGAGCAGCTCAACAGAAAATGACGGCAGAGGCACCAGCTCCCCCTCCGTCTTCCAGGCAGAGTCTGCGGCCCCCCAGGGCGGTGGCGGAGAACTCCAGCCATGGAGGCTCAACCCAGGGAAAGGAGGCCGGGTGCAGACTTGCTTCCAACCAGAACAGGAGAAAAGGTCCAAGGGGCGGAAGCCAGTATTGCTGGGTAAACGGCACGTACAGAAACAACGTGTAGAGTTTATCTGGGACACAGGGCACCAGGATGAGGATCAGACTCCATGTTTGGGCAGGAAGCCAAATAGCCTTGCTTTGTGAAGGATTCACCCAGTGTATAAAGTTCACTGCACATATGCTGCTGGTCTGTAGGCCGCCCTTAAACATTGGGATGCCGTGGACTTGAAGGTGATAGACCCGGATTCAGATATTCACTCTGCTGCTCACCAGCTCTGGGACTGTGTGTGGGTGAGTCCATTTGTCTCTGTAAACCTAAGTTTAATCGTCTGAGCATAAAATAAGCAGATGGGTGTGACTTGGCTGGACCAGCAGCTGGCATATAATAGATGTTCAGTGAATTGTATCTGCCAGGAGTAGCGATGAGGGTAGAATAAGACTATTATTATGCATGCTCCACACACATGTATGTTACATGTGTGTGTGCACATACCACACACATGCCTGCGTCACGACAGATGGTGAGCAGCAGTGGTTCCGGGCTTAGAATTCGCTCAAAAAGGAGTGAGGCTTTAGGCCGCCCACTTGCTCATCTGTCCAGGAAGTCCCCCACAGAATTAGCCAAAGAAGTAAGATGCGTCTGGCAGGAGAAATGGCCCACAGGGACCGACTGTATCTGACTGAGTGGATTCGGGGCATAATGGGTGAGAGGAGGCCTGGCTCTTGTTCTGGGGTCTCAGTGTATCAAGTGACACAGAGAACTTTTGACGAAGCTAATTAGGACGTTGTACACTGTGAAGACTCTTAGAGACCAGAGGTAAACATTTTTTAATAGCTGGAACTATGGCGGCAGGGGTGGGGTTCCCCTCAACTTTGTCCACAGTGTGCCACTCGGTGCATGTTTGTTGAGTGAATAATTGTATGAAGGCTTAGTCTGTTTGGCTGAGGAAGCTTCTCGACTGAGGGGACGACTCCCCTCCCCTTGTCAAGCTCCCCCGCCTCGTCTTACCTCCTGATGCGGGATCCGTCTCCATCAGTCAGCACAGTGCATCAGTCCTTAAAGCGCGAGGAGGTGGAGCAGGTGCTCCCCCGGTTCTCTCTGATGCTTTGGACATCACCTTGGCTGGTGATGTTCCAATGTCGTCTTAGCCATGGCTCTGAGGTGAAACAGACCTGGGTGTGAATTGCAGCTCCACCACTTACAAGCTGTGTGGACAATGGCAGATTACAAACCCTCTTGGCCTCAGGTTCTGCATCCATGCGATGGGAAGAGGAGGCCGCGGGGTAGGGCTGTGGTTGCGTGAGAAATGAGACGTGATTTTGTGGACCACCTAGCACAGCGGATGGCTCACGGTCATTCTCATAGTGATGGGAATTGTCTTCAGAACATAGTGTCCAGCCACCAAGGATCGTCCTTGCCTTCAATGGTGGTTTATTAAACACCTTCTGTATGACAGGAAAAGTTCAAGGCATGGGGTCCACAGCTGTGAACAAAACAGGTCGATCTCATAGAGTTTATATTACAGGTGGTGCGAGAGAAAAATATACTAAATAGACACAAAATGTGTCCAGTAGTTTTAAATGTTGTGGAGAGAAGTAAAGGGTAAGTAAGGGGTGGGCAGATGGAGTCCCACCGTGAATGCAGTGGCCAAAATGTCACCTTGTCAGAAAGGGAGCTGTGTTGGAGCAGAAACTGGAATGCAATGTGGGAGGAAGTCATGGAGGCCTCTGGAAGAAAAGCAGTTCAGCAGAGGAAACAGCAAATACCAAGTTCCTGAGCAGGAAGGATGCTTGGCTTATTTCAGGAGCTCAAGAGGGCTAGAGTGGCTATACATGGGGAGTGAAGAGAAAACACCTAGAATGTGAGAGCAGAGAGCTAGCTGGGGACCAGATTATGGGAGAATTCCTAGGCTATGGTAAAAAATGGGGACTTTACTCAGTGAGATGAGTGGTTGTACCAGTTAGCATTTGCTGTGTAACAAGTAATTCTGAAACTCTGTGGCTTAAAATAACATCTTTTTTTTTTTGGCAGCTCTCCGGGTGGACTGGAGAGTTTCTTCTCATGTGGGTTGGCTCTGCTGGGGCTACGTAGTCTGGGATGGCCTCCCTCATGTATCTAATGGGTAGCTTGATGTCAGTTTGGGGAATGTCCATGTGTGTCTCATCACCCAGCAGGCCAGCCCAGCCCATTCATGTGATGGTGTTTGCAGGGTTCCAAGGAGTGACAAAAAAGGATGAGACCCAATGCACAAGCACTTTTTCAGAATGGCCAAAACAAAGCCAGGGCCAGAGTTAGTGAGAGAGAGGACTACCTGAGGTGTGGAGACTGGGAGGAGGATTACAATGGCCCTGTTTGCAAGGAGTCTAACTCAGAAGCACTGGAGGGTTTGGACCAGAAAAGTGACACTATCTGAAGCAGAGTTTTAGAGGAGCTATGGCAATAAGGATTCTGTTAAGGGGCAATATAGCCAGATGGGAGGACATTGCCAGGCTATGGGCCACTGGAAAGCAGTGGTGTTTGACTGACCACAGAGTCAGAGGCCCAGAAATTCATGGTGTTGTCTAGCCCGAAGCTGCCCTTGTTGGGAGGAGGAACAGTGACACATACGCCTTGCCCCCACCTTCCTGGTATTTTAGCAGAAGCGTCCTCTCCACCCTGCCAAAGTGGACTTGCTTGCATCCCTGCTGGAATGGCCTGGAAGCCAAGGTGTACGTGAAACAGGAGGAGTGGGAAAGAGCCTCGAAACCACCCCCATTCTCAGACATAGAGCTGTTCTCTAATCACCAAGCACTTGATCATTATAGGGGGACCAAACCATCGAGGACTGAAATGACCCGCAATACGTAATAACAAAACCTCTTATGGTGAAATTAAACAGTAGTCATTTTTCTTTCTCTCTCTTCCTTCCACAGAAAATATGATGCTGGCATGCTCATTGCGTGAGACAACTTGGCCCACAGACAGCCACAAAGCACAAAAACAGAACAAACTCAGAGAAGAAACAAGAATGGTGTTTTCCTGGCGTCTACAAGAAGCGCTTTATTTTTCCTCTAGATTTCTTTTCTAAAAAAAGTGAAACAAAACAAAAAACAAAACTGAAAACATTTTAAAGAAACGACCAACTTCAGGTGATCATATTCAAGCATGTTCTTTTATTAAGCATAGGTTGGGAGGAGCGAGAGGAAGCTGAAGGAGGATGCTAATCAGATGCACTGAGGGGTTGTGAACCTCGGTCCGAGATCGGGCTGCTTCTTAAAACTGTTAGTGAAGAATGAATAGCTTTTTATCCCCCATCCCCCAAACATCCTGTTTATTCTTAAGGGTGCGATGCTTCCTTTCCTGCCTGCCAAGGTATCTAGGGAATGTGTTGCAAAATTTGTTGTTATACTCTCTAAAGACGCTTTTGTATAGCTTTGGCAAGGGAGTCCATGGACCAGTGCTTTTGCGACCCTCCAGTTACGTGTCTTCCACCGATCTGTAAGTGTCACCTCCATCTTGGCTGGAACAAGATTCAGAGAGTTTCCTCTCCAGCAGCTGTCAAGCCCACTCTGACTTGATCAGGATGAATGAAACAATTATCTCCTAGATGAACGCAAACATTGACTTTTTCTTTCCTGAACAGGAGAAAGCCAGCTCCTGACTACAGTGTGGTCGTAGGAGGCGGTGGTGGTGGTGGGGTGGGACGGGGGGACCAGGCTGTTCTAAACAGTGAGTGAGAATGGCTGTGCTTCTACAGTGAGACAGAGAACCTGCCACCTACCAAGGTTCACTTTCAAACGGGCCATCACCAGGGGAGCAGAGGGACCCACGCCTAACCCAACCCCAGAATTCCCTGCTTCCCATTGGTACTTAACATTTTTCACTCTGTTGTGACTCCTCTTACATTCTTTACTCTGGATCGGGGTCAGAGGGACATGGAGAGCCCCAGGACAGTAAGTTGGAAGGGGTCCAGCCTTGGCAATGACGCGCGTGCACACACAGGGCGCGGGGCATGGTGCTGACCCCCGCCGAAGC